GCCCTCGGCTGAGGCCCATGTGTATAGAACTCAATGCCATGGAATACATACGCTCAGACACAGTACATGACGCTTGGATTTGAGCGCAAACTTTCTATATCTGATAGATCAATACAATGCATCCCTTTCTAGGACAGAGCCAACAGCAGGGTTGCCTGGACAGAAGTGCACAGCTTGGACACCTCTCTACCTCCAGGTGCCACTGCAAGTCCCAGCATGCTGTGTCAGTCAACGGTATGCTTCAACAATATCTGGAGGAGCCCATATTCTAGAGAAGCCTTTCTCAACCAGGGGTACTTCAGAGGCCGCAAGGGGTTCTTGAGTGGCAGACTGATCTCCCACCTGATGGTGCCTGATGGGGTGAGACCAGTGGAACCTCTCGATTCTCAAATAGGTAACCATTGACACCAATGATCTTTTTAGTTGTCTGTATGAGGGGCATATTCCCCAATGATCCCCAATGTAAGGGGAACAGTCTTTCCACTGACCCCCCTCCCAACCCAATGTAAGAGTAACAGTCTTCCCACTGACCCCCCCAATTTAAGAGTAACAGTCTTCCCACTGACCCCCTTCCCCCCCAATGTAAGGGGAACAGTCCTCCCACTGACCTTCAATGTAAAAAGAACAATCTTCCCACTGACCCCCAATTTAAGGGAAACAGTCTTCCTACTGACCCCCAATTTAAGGGAAACAGTCTTCCCACTGACCCCCCAATGTAAGGGATACAGTCTTCCCACTGACCCCCCCCCTTCCCAATGTAAGGGGAACAGTCTTCCCACTGACCCCCCCCCCACCCAAATGTAAGGGGAACAGTCTACCCATTGGCCCCCAATGTAAGAGGAACATTCTTCCCACTGACCCACCCAATGTAAGGGATACAGTCTTCCCACTGACCCCCTCCCTTCCCAATGTAAGGGTCACGGTCTTCCCACTGACACCCCCAATGTAAGGGATACAGTCTTCCCACTGACCCCCCCCCCCCTTCCCAATGTAAGGGGAATAGTCTTCCCACTGACCCCCCCAATGTAAGGAATACATTCTTCCCACTGACCTGCCCAATGTAAGGGTCACAGTCTTCCCACTGACCCCCCCCCCCTTCCCAATGTAAGGGGAACAGTCTTTCCACTGACCCCCAATGTAAGGGATACAGTCCTCCCACTGACTCCCCCCCCCTTCCCAATGTAAGGGGAACAGTCTTCCCACTGACCACCCCCCCCCAATGTAAGGAGAATAGTCTTCCCACTGACCCCCCCCCCCCCCAATGTAAGGAGAACAGTCTTCCCACTGACCCTCCAACGTAAGAAGAACAGTCTTCCCACTGACCCCCCAATGTAAGAGGAACATTCTTCCCACTGACCTACCCAATGTAAGGGTCACAATCTTCCCACTGACCCCCCAATGTAAGAGGAACATTCTTCCCACTGACCTACCCAATGTAAGGGTCACAGTCTTCCCACTGACCCTCAGTATAACCGTGCTTTCTTTCTACTGACATCCAATGTAAAGAGGCACATCTCCCTCTGAACACAAACGTAAGTAGGGCCTTTCTCCCACCAGTGGCCAATAATGGGGGGGACCTTCTTCAAACTGACTACAAATGCAAGGGACTGAAGCTTGAAAATTTCTGCCAGTGTTCCTCTGGGGTAAAAAGGTTGAGAAAGGCCGTTCTAGAGGATCACTCCCAAAGGGCTGATGCATGAAAGATTCTAAGAAGTGTACAAACCCTCCTTGAGGCACCCAGTCAGAATTCTCCTTTTATATTTCTGCAGCAGATCCGAAAATGAAAAGAGAAATTCTGATTGGCAGCTCTGGGTGGTAACTTTTCTTTGCAGCAATGGGCAATACCTGTAATAATTCAGGGAACGGGTAATCCAGCACTAGGTGAGGAAAACCAATTATAGGTGACAGAGTATGTGTGTTCACCGGAAATAATAAACGGGGCCCTGGAAAGCTTTCATCATGCTGGAGATTTGGCCCAACTCTGGAGATTTGTCCAGCCAGCCTTGTGCACTTGTCAGACATTTCTAGACGTGTTCAGCACGTCGATTGGGTAAAGTGCAGTTAAAAGCAGAAACCAACAAAAGGGAATATGGTGGGCCCTTTCTGTGACCACCAATGGCGAGTACACTGGGCCCACCAAAGAGGAATACAATGGGCCCACCAAAGGGGAATACAATGAGCCTGAGAAAGGGGAGTACACTGGGCCCACCAATGGGGAATACAATGGACCCACCAAACAGGAGTACAATCAGCCTGCCAAAGGGGAGTACACTGGGCCCACCCAAAGATGAGTACCCTGGGCCCAGTTTGGGACCACCAAAGGTGAGTACAAAGGGCCCACCAAATAGGAGAATAATCAACCTGCCAAAGCGGAGTACGCTGGGCCAACATAAAGATGAGTACAAGGGGCTCAATCTGTGACCACCAAAGGGGGTTACACTGGGCCCTTCATAGAGGAGTACACTGGGCTCAACAGAGGAAAGTAGACTGGGGGGGGAAGGGTACAATGGGCCCATCATAGAAGAGTAAACTGGGCCTTCTCTTGACCATCAAAGGAAAGTAGACTGGGCCCACCAAAGTAGGGTACACTAGGCCCTCTCTGTGATTGCCAAAGGAGAGTAGACTGGGCCCACCAAAGGGTGATAGAATAATCCCTCTCTGTGACTACCAAAGGGAAGTAGACTGGGCCCGCCAAAGGGGGGGGGTAGACTAGGCCCTCTCTGTGATTGCCAAAGGGGGGTAGACTGAGCCCTCTTTGTGATCGCCAAAGGGGGGTAGACTAGATTCTCTCTGTGATCGCCAAAGTGGGATAGACTAAGCCCTCTCTGTGACTACCAAAGACAAGTAGACTGGGCCCAACACATGGGAGCAGAATATGGCCCTCTCAGTGACCGCCAAAGGGGGGCAGACTAAGCCCTCTCTGTGACCTCCAAAGAGGGTCAAACTGGGCCCACCAAAGGGGGCTAGACTGGGCCCTCTCTGTGACTCCAGATATCTCTCTCTCCTAAAAGTGCTAAATGTACAAATTTAAAACATTTTTCAGAACTTCCCGAATGATTTCATATTAAAGTGGAGAATCATAAAAATAATCTCTAAGTGCTACAATAAAAACTGCGCGATAACAGATGAGGAGCTACAACGTAAAAGAAACCTTTTCCTGTAAAAGTGGAAATCCCGACTGCACCTCCGCCTTGAAGTGAAGCAGCGAGGTCATTGTCTCCAAGCGCACCAACGTGTAATTTCAGAGAACCCCAACGCAACCGCATAATGATAAAATGAGCTACATCTAATCCCCACCCTGTCGATGGTTACAGAGGGCTGGGAGAAGGTGCGACCCCTCTATTGTCACATGTGAAGCTTTGAATCTGGGTTCCAAATTTTTGGAAAAGTCCTAAAAATTCTAAACTCACATCTGCAAGAAGGCTGAATATCTGCCCCTCTGGTGCCTTCAAGCCTCCAGTGTAACAACTGGAAATGAAAGCTTTTTCTAGGGCAGACGGCAGGAGAATACTCTACAGGAGCTCGGGTTGGGGTTGGGAGTGGGGGGGAGGGGGCAAGCTATTAATTAAACAATTCCTGATGCCCCCGCAATTACGCAGGTTCATTTAAAAAACATGAAACGTTGTCACACAGCTTCATAGGATGACCAGAGGACATGCTCTGTACCAGAATTAACATAAAACCCCTTAAAAACACATAGAAATCCCGCTACATATAGATATGTATCATATGTGTGTGTGAGCGCCGAGAGCGCCGTATTACCGGATGCACAGACCCACAAGCGCCTAAAACCCATTGGAGGACAAATAAAGAAAATATAAACTGATAGAGCTGCTGATAAGTGCTTTTTTCCTCTCACCGCGTGAGAATCTGCTTATTACTGAGTCATACAAGCCCTGCGCAGGCGGCCATTAAAAGTGCGTTTATCCCACGCCTGGGTACCAACCATCAAAACGTCTCTCCTGTGGACTTGTGTTCAGGAGGTCCCCCCACCACCACCCCCTGTAGATCTGAGGAACCTCCAGATACGCTGTACAAGCTCAGAAACACAATGTGGAGGTCATTGTGTGGAGGTCAATGTGGAGGTCGGCCATTGCCTACCATGGGAACCGGGGCTGCGGCAGGTCTATACATTCTCACAGGCCTGAGACGGACCCCCACCTGGCGCTGGCAGTACTTCCGCCATTGCCGTAGGTAAGTGCTACAGTAAGTTCAGGCACCTGTGGAGACCATGGCTTCTACAGTGTCAGTATATCACCACCACCACCACCCTATAGATACGGGCGGCGTACCCCCAATGACATGGCCAATCGTCTGCAGAGCATTGCACCGACAGTGAGAAGGCCTCAGTACAACAGCTCTGCAGACCTCTTTAACACGTAAGGCCAGAGTCCTGTCATTTCTTCTATACAGATGGAGGGAACGGGGGGTTGTTTGGGTGCCATGTAGGACCCCGTCCCCTCTCTTCATCGGTCTTGAATCGGCCCCGCTCCTCTACTGTGACATTAAAAAAAAAAAACATAAGCTGGGACTGCGGAGCGGAGTGGCCCCTCGTTATCCAGGGGCCACAATATCAAACAGGTCTCTTTAAAGTGCCATAGAGAATTTGTTACCTCTTTAGGTAAAAAAAAAAAACAAAAACAGCTTCACCGGTGACCCCAAAAAGGGTTAAAACAGCAGCCTGAGCACAGCAAAGCCAAAATACATCTGAACCCCCCCTCCCCCCCACCCAACCAGCAACAACCAGTGTACCAGACTGAGCGGCACACCCCAGTCCTCCTGAGGAAGCACTCTGCTCTCAGCGCACACAATACTGACACCCGCAATCCAGTTTCCTTGCAAAGGTGAAGAAACGGGGCATTATATGGGCGCTGGGGGGAGGGGGGGGGAGGGGAAGGGGGGGGGGCAGACTGCTGATTTAACACCGCCGGCTTTCTGTAAGGTTTACCAATGTGCAACATTCCCCCTTGTGGATACAAAAGGAACTCCAACTGAAAGCGTTAGCCAAAGGTCTGGCTAGCGGCCGGGTCAGGGGTTGAAGCCAAGGGGGTCCTGCTCTCGCTTACATTCACCAGGGGGAATTCTGAGAAGTCGGCGGCGGCCCGTGGGCGCGGCCGCAGGTTCACCTGTCCGTTGGCGGGGCTGAACTGGGGCGATATCCCGGGGGGGCGGCTGCCGTGGTACTGCGCTCTGAACGGCTGCTCGAAGGCGGCCAGCTGGTAGGTCTGGTGGACAGTCTGCTGCGCCTCGGGCTTCTTCTGAGCCGTCACTTGATCGATGAAATCCTGCGCCGATGACGAAGGCGTGGGGGAGGCGTGACTTCCGTCGTCCGCTGTAAAGCTGAAGGTGCTTTGGGCGTCAGTCACTATGAGTCCGAAGTGAGATTTGTCAGGCGACACCCTCAGTGGGGTGCTCATGCTCGCTCTGTACGTAGAGATGGGCAGCGTAGCGTAGACGTGCTTGTCCAGCGCGGGAAAGGCTGCCGTACTGGAGAGCGCCTGGCTATCGGTGACGAAGTTCAGGCCCGTGTTGTTCAGATAGGCGTCGTTTTGGCTGGTCCGTTCTAGAGCCTGCTGAAGAAACTTCGAATACTCTTGCAGCATGCTGGCCTTGTCTGACTGTGGGACCTGGGCGGTGGCCCCGAGGTTCTCTGGCTGGCTGGTCTCCCCCACCCCAGAGGAGTTGATGGAGATGCTGGAAGTGACTTCCGTATCTCCAACGCTGAAGGCGATCTCGTGCTGCCCGTTGGCTTTGTGCGAATAATGATCCAACAGCGTCTGCAGCACTTCGTCCGGAATCACGTTCTTCTCGTGGTTCGCCTTGATGTCCACGTTCAGCGCCTGAGCGTCTATAAGGGTGGCCGTGCTATTCTCGTCCATGACGCTGGCCACGGCTGCCTGTGTGGCCGACGGCTGGGAGGCCATAGTGCCCACGTTCAGGGCGTATTCGCGGCTGCTGCTGTTGCCGGTGGCGGCCAGCAGGTAGCGCTTCTTCTTGGAGAACTGCATGGCCTCGTCGTAGCTGACGCTGCTGTTGGCCGGTTTGGTTGCCCCCTCCTGCATGGGGTCGCCGTGGTCCATGTCTGAGTTGCTTCCAGAGTCCAGCAAGGCCTGTTTGTCCACCAGTTCGAAAGTATACTTGTCCACTTTGCCGTCGTTGAAGGCGCTGAGTGCCGCCATGGCCTGGCTTTGCTCCAGGGCTTGGCTCTGCTCCAGCGCCTGGCTCTGCTCCAGCGCGTGTTTGACGCTCTTTTTGTTGCTCACTTTCTTGATCAGCAGTTTTGGGGGGCTGATGGCGGCGGACACGTCTTCCTGGAGGTGCAGGTCGCTGACGGAGGGATGAGGCATTTCCACCGAGTACTCCGTCACCATGTACTCGTCTTTCACTTTGGTACTGTTGGGGTACAGGGGCAGGAACTCCGCCTTGTCCTTCTTCTGCTCCGCCTTTTCCAGGGCGCCCTCCTTATCGCTCAGCCCCAGCAGCTTCATCTTGTCCGTCCTCTGCTTCTTCTTCGGTAACGCCCCTTCTTTGGCCAGCGCAGAGAAAACGTCGCCGTCCGGGGATAACAGGCTGGACTTGCTGCCACTTTTGCTGACTTTGCGCTCTCGGTTCTCGTGGCACATGCGCTTGTGCTTCAGTACGCGGTCCGTCCGGGAGAAATACTGGCGGGAAAAACAAACAAAAGATTTTCTATCAGTATCAGCGCTCTTCACGTAAATCAAATATGTCGCTCAATTTAACTCCTTCAATACCGGGCGCGGTCACCCCCTTCCAGTCCAGGCCAAATCTCAGCTTTCACACTTTGAATGGCACTTGCGCGGTCATGCAACACTGTACCCATATGACTTTTTTTTTCTTTCTTTTTTTTTCGAGACAGATAGAGCTTTCTTTTGATGGTATATAATCACCAATGAGTTTTTTTATTTATGACGAAATTTGATTTTTTACATTTTTTTTACTGGATATGTTTATTAGCAAAAAGTCAAAAATATTTTTTTTTTTCTCAAAATTATCGGTCTTTTTTTGTTTATAGCGCAGAGAATAAAAAATGCACAGGTGATCAAATACCACCGAAAGAAAGCTTTTGTAGGGGAAAAAGAACGTACATTTCATTTGGGTGCAGCATTGCATGACCGCGCAAATTGTCAGTTAAATTAATGCAGTGCCGTATCACAAACAAATGACCTGGTCAGGAAGGGGGGGGGGGGGTCATTTTTACACTGTTGCTTTGATTTGTGTTTTATTTTATTTTTTTTATCACTTTGTTGCTGTAAACATCCCCTGTGACAGCAATAGGCACCTACAGGGAGGAAAATAATGATTCGCTCCCCTGCAGAGTCTGTAGGTTCGCCCACTTACAGAGAAATGACGGTTCTGTAATTTGTATCATAGATGTATATAAATGATAGAGACAGAATATCAACCAAAAATCCAGAAAAACAGGATACAAATGTTATAAATGGAGTTGCAGTTCGGTGAGTAGAATAAGTGTTTGATCCCCACCAACCAACAATGATTCTGGCTCCCACAGAACGGCGATGTGCTCATGTGGTACACAGATCAGTCCTCCTGTCAATGGAAGAAGGTCCCCCTAACGACAACTCGTTGTGTATATAGCAGACACCTGTCCACAGAATCTCTGTTCTTCCATTCACACCTCACCACCACCATGGGCAAGACCAAAGAGCTGTCAGAGGACCTCAGGGACAAGATTGTAGACCTGCACAAGGATGGAATGGGCTACAAGATCATCAGCCAGAAGCTTGGTGAGAAGGAGACGACTGTTGGAGCGATTATTTGCAAATGGAAGAAATACAAAGTAACCATCAATCACCCTCAGTCTGGAGCTCCATGGAAGATCTCACCTCATGGGTTAAGGATGATGAGAAAAGTGAGGGACCAGCCAAGAACTACACAGGAGGAGCTTGTGAAGGGTCTCAAGGCAGTTGGGACCACAGTCACCGAACCAACCATTGGTAACACAACACGTCGCCATGGACTGAAATCATGCAGTGCCCGCAAGGTCCCCCTCCTCAAGAAGGCACATGTACAGCCCGTCTGAAGGTTGCCAATGAACATGAATGATTCAGAGAAGGATTGGGAGAAAGTCCTGTGGTCAGATGAGACCACAATTGAGCTCTTTGGCATTAACTCGACTCGCCGTGTTTGGAGGAGGAAATGCTGACTATGACCCTAAGAACACCATCTCTACAGTCCAGCACGGAGGTGGAGACATTATGCTTTGGGTCTGTTTCTCTGCTAAAGGTACAGGGTGACTTTGCCGCATTGAGGGGCCAATGGACTGGGCCATGTATTATAAAATCTTGGGTGAGAAACTTCTTCCCTCAGCCAGGACATTGAAAATGGGTCGTGGATGGGTCTTCCATCATGACAATGACTCAACATATACTGCCGAGGCAACAAAGGAGCGGCTCAAGAAGAAGCACAATAAGGTCATGGAGTGGCCTAGCCGGTCTCCAGACCTTCATCCTATAGAAAATGTATGGAGGGAGCTGAAAGTTCGGGTTGCCAAGTGACAGCTAAGAAACCTCAAGTATTATTATTATACAGTATTTATAAAGCGCCGATAGTTCGCTCAGCGCTGTACATTACAAAGGGGGACAGAACATGTGACAGAAACAATACCAATACAATGCAAAACATGAGGGGATCGAGGGCCCTGATCTTTGGAGCTTACAATCTATGAGGGAGGGGATGGTGGCACAGGAGGAGATAGCTGTGGGGGATGGAGTGGTAGGAAGAGTGGAGGAGGTCGGCAAATTAGAAGGCGGTGGAGTAGACTTCTCTGAAGAGATGGGTTTTCAGGGTGCGCCTAAAAGAGAGGAGAGTAGGTCATTGTCTGATGGGTTGGGGCAGGGAGTTCCAAAGGATGGGCGACACCCTGGAGAAATCCTGGAGGCGGGCATGGGAGGAGGAGACCAGGGTACTAGAGAGAAGGAGGTCTCAAATATTTAGAGATCTGTAAAGGAGAGTGGACCAAATCCCTCCTGAGATGTGTGCAAACCTGGGAACCATCTACAAGAAACGTTTCACCTCTGTGCTCACCAACAAGGGTTCCTCCACCAACTACAAGGAACGTCTCACCTCTGTGCTCGCCAACAAGGGTTCCTCCACCAACTACAGGAAAGGTCTCACCTCTCTGCTCACCAACAAGGGTTCCTCCACCAACTACAGGAAACGTCTCACCTCTCTGCTTGCCAACATGGGTTCCTCCACCAACTACAAGGAACGTCTCACCTCTGTGCTCGCCAACAAGGGTTCCTCCACCATCTACAAGAAACGTTTCACCTCTGTGCTTACCAACAAGGGTTCCTCCACCAATTACAAGGAACGTCTCACCTCTGTGCTCGCCAACAAGGGTTCCTCCACCAACTACAGGAAAGGTCTCACCTCTCTGCTCACCAACAAGGGTTCCTCCACCAACTACAGGAAAGGTCTCACCTCTCTGCTCACCAACAAGGGTTCCTCCACCAACTACAGGAAACGTCTCACCTCTCTGCTCGCCAACATGGGTTCCTCCACCAACTACAAGGAACGTCTCACCTCTGTGCTCGCCAACAAGGGTTCCTCCACCAACTACAAGAAACGTCTTACCTCTCTGCTCACCAACAAGGGTTCCTCCACCAACTACAAGGAACGTCTCACCTCTGTGCTCGCCAACAAGGTTCCTCCACCAACTACAAGGAACGTCTCACCTCTCTGCTCACCAACAAGGGTTCTACCACCAACTACAAGGAACGTCTCACCTCTGTGCTCGCCAACAAGGGTTCCTCCACCAACTACAAGGAACGTCTCACCTCTCTGCTCGCCAACAAGGGTTCCTTCACCAACTACAAGGAACGTCTCACCTCTGTGTTCACCAACTAGGGTTCCTCCACCAACTACAAGGAACGTCTCACCTCTGTGCTCGCCAACTAGGGTTCCTCCACCAAATACAAGAAATGTCTCACCTCTGTGCTCACCAACAAGGGTTCCTCCACCAACTACAAGGAACGTCTCACCTCTCTGCTCGCCAACAAGGGTTCCTTCACCAACTACAAGGAACGTCTCACCTCTGTGCTCGCCAACAAGGGTTCCTCCACCAACTACAAGGGAACGTCTCACCTCTCTGCTCACCAACAAGGGTTCCTCCACCAACTACAAGGAACGTCTCACCTCTGTGCTCGCCAACAAGGGTTCCTCCACCAACTACAAGTAACGTCTCACCTCTGTGCTCACCAGCAAGGGTTCCTCCACCAACTACAAGGAACGTCTGACCTCTGTGATTGCCAACAAGGGTTCCTCCAGCAACTACAGGAAACGTCTCACCTCTGTGCTCACCAACAAGGGTTCCTCCACCAACTACAAGGGACGTCTCACCTCTGTGCTCGCCAACAAGGGTTCCTCCACCAACTACAAGGAACGTCTCACCTCTGTGCTCACCAACAAGGGTTCCTTCCACCAACTACAAGGAACGTCTCACCTCTGTGCTCACCAACAAGGGTTCCTGCACCAACTACAAGGAACGTCTCACCTGTGTGCTCACCAACAAGTGTTCCTCCACCAACTACAAGGAACGTCTCACCTCTGTGCTCACCAACAAGGGTTCCTCCACCAACTACAAGGAATGGCTCACTCTGTGCTCACCAACAAGTGTTCCTCCACCAACTACAAGGAACGTCTCACCTCTGTGCTCACCAACAAGGGTTCCTCCACCAACTACAAGGAACGTCTCACCTGTGTGCTCACCAACAAGTGTTCCTCCACCAACTACAAGGAATGGCTCACCTCTGTGCTCGCCAACAAGGGTTCCTTCACCAACTACAAGGAACGTCTCACCTCTGTGCTCACCAACTAGGGTTCCTCCACCAACTACAAGGAACGTCTCACCTCTGTGCTCGCCAACTAGGGTTCCTCCACCAAATACAAGAAATGTCTCACCTCTGTGCTCACCAACAAGGGTTTCCTCCACCAACTACAAGGAACGTCTCACCTCTGTGCTCACCAACCAGGGTTCCTCCACCAACTACAAGGAACGTCTCACCTGTGTGCTCACCAACAAGTGTTCCTCCACCAACTACAAGGAACGTCTCACCTGATAAGAATGATAGACCCTTCATTTTCTCTGTAAGTGGGCAAACGTACAAAATCTTTTTACCTTTTACAGTGGGGAAAACAATGATTTGATCCCGTGCAGATTATGTACATGAAAAAGGGGGTGGCTACTTGTAAGAGCTGTAATTCCTAAACCCCTCCCCCAATGTGGATGTACATACCCTCCAATTACACCAGAGAGTGCGCAATGCCCATCCATATCCATCATAGAACTAGAACCTAAAATTGTCTCCTGTGCCCAAATCTATATGGACCCACCAACTGTATGTAAAGCGCTGCGTCAATCGATGGCGCCATAGAAATACCGGAAATAAACTGAATGGACTTTGTGATTTGATTTCAGCTGCAGCATTGTGAGAGAACAATATTCCTCTACCGACTGCTCTCATGGGTTCCCTGCAACTGCCATTTACATCAGCCAAAGCTGGCCCTCCCACCCCCGACAACAAGGACAGTGCAAGGAGAAGCAGCAGACCGAGGAGCTCATCTATCCGTCACTCCGCCCTCTCCTCCTATGAGAATACTCCTCATTAGCACATGCTTCTCTATGCAATGCAGGAATGATCATGGCTGTGGGAGGAGCTGACAAGGGGCTGTACATAGCAACACGTCACAGCTCCCTGCCTCAGTGCTCCTCTGTCCTGATGCAACCAGTGGGAGGAGTTATGCCTTGATGGGTGTGTGTCAGTCTGGAGGAGTGTGGGCGGGTAATAACAGAACACCCCCATAGACAGGTGACAGCGCCCCCTCTGGTTGGATGAAACACACCTGCACTCAGCAGTACTCGCACTGGTAGGGTTTTCTCCAGCTGTGCGTCCTCTTATGTCTTTCCATGTGATACTTCTGGATGAATCGCATTCCGCACTCGTCGCAGTGGAAAGGCTTCTCTCCTGGGAAGAAACGCAGCAAATAAAATATTATAATAAATAATGAAAAGATGAAATATAGGAAGGGTCCCGGAACACGCAGGACCGGCCCCCGGAACACGCAGGACTGGCCCGGAACACGCAGGACCCCGACCGGCCTCCCCGCTTACCTGTGTGAATCTTCTCGTGTCGCTGCAGCAGATACTTCTGGATGAAGCGCATGTCACACTGAGCGCACTGGAACGGCTTCTCACCTGGGTGACAACAATTAAAGGTCAGCTCCTCCTCCTCATCATCATCCTCCTCCTCCTTCTCATCATCATCATCCTCTCTCCTCCTTCTCATCATCTCCATACATACAGACTACAACTCGCTTTTATTTAACAGACACTTTCCACATTTAACATTGTAATCAGCTCTATGTGTGATGCCGTACACCGGGTGAAAGCTGAATGATCTGGCTTACAGTGGGTGTGGTGGCTGCTAAGGCGATTGGGGTAGAACATGCAGAGGTCAGTGCGGTGATGTCACTAAAGGCGGGACGGCAGCAGAAGAGGAACTGCGGGGCTCTACGGCACAACACAGGATCGTATGAATCTGCTGGCACTTCCTGCTCTCAGCTGATTGGCTGGAGTTGCCTTTTAACCAGCTGATGACAATGAAAATACTACACACCCTCACAAAGATCCGCCTGAAACAGCGTGTTGGATAAACATCGATCAGACGGGGGATAGATACAAAGTAACATTGTTTATAAACATCGATCAGACGGAGGATAGATACAAAGTAACATTGTTTATAAACATCGATCAGACGGGGGATAGATACACCGAGTAACATTGTTTAATAAACATCGATCAGACGGGGGATAGATACAAAGTTAACATTGTTTATAAACATCGATCAGACGGGGGATAGATACAAAGTAACATTGTTTATAAACATCGATCAGACGGGGGGTATAGATTCAAAGTAACATTGTTTATAAACATCGATCAGACGGGGGATAGATACAAAGTAACATTGTTTATAAACATCAGATCAGACGGGGATGGAGAGATACAAAGTAACATTGTTTATAAACATCGATCAGACGGGAGATAGAGAGATACAAAGTAACGTTCCGTTGTTTAAAACATCGATCAGACGGGAGATAGAGAATCGATACAAAGTAACATTGTTTATAAACATCGATCAGACGGGAGAGATGGAGAGATACAAAGTAACATTGTTTATAAACATCGATCAGACGGGAGATAGAGATACGAGAGATACAAAGTAACGTTGTTTACAAATATCGATCAGACGGGGGATAGAGAGATACAAAGTAACATTGTTTATAAACATCGATCAGACGGGAGATAGAGATACAAAGTAACGTTGTTTATAAACATCGATCAGACGGGAGAGGATGGAGAGATACAAAGTAACGTTGTTTATAAACATCGATCAGACGGGAGATAGAGATACAAATTAACGTTGTTTATAACACACTCGATCGGACGGGGGATAGAGAGATACAAAGTAACATTGTTTATAAACATCGATCAGACGGGAGATAGAATGTAACATTGTTTATAAACATCGATCAGATGGGAGATGGAGAGATACAAAGTAACATTGTTTATAAACATCGATCAGACGGGAGATAGAGAGATACAAAGTAACATTGTTTATAAACATCGATCAGACGGGGAGGATAGAGAGATACAAAGTAACGTTGTTTTATAAACATCGATCAGACGGGAGATAGAGAGATACAAAGTAACATTGTTTATAAACATCGATCAGACGGGAGATAGAGAGATACAAAGTAACATTGTTTATAAACATCGATCAGACGGGAGATAGAGAGCTACAAAGTAACATTGTTTATAAACATCGATCAGACGGGAGATAGAGAGATACAAAGTAACATTGTTTATAAACATCGATCAGACGGGGGATAGAGAGCTACAAAGTAACATTGTTTATAAACATCGATCAGACGGGAGATAGAGAAATACAAAGTGACATTGTTTATAAACATCGATCAGACAGGGGATAGAGAGATACAAAGTAACGTTGTTTATAAACATCGATCGGACGGGAGATGGAGAGATACAAAGTAACGTTGTTTATAAACATCGATCAGAGTGTACAGTGTCTTCAGTGCAGACAAATTCATGCAGTTTGTGACAGGGACTTGAATTGGGTGCAGCGCCCTGAAAGGATTCATGAATTCCCCCAAATGTGTCCACATATATATACACTATAGTGCCTGAAGTATTGGACCCGCCCTCCATATCATGTGATTCAGGTGTTCCAATCCCCTCCATATCATGTTTCAGGTGTTCCAATCCCCTCCATATCATGTGATTCAGGTGTTCCAATCCCCTCCATATCATGTTTTCCAATCCACTCCCAATCATGTGATTCAGGTGTTCCAATCCCCTCCCAATCATGTGATTCAGGTGTTCCAATCCCCTCCATATCATGTGATTCAGGTGTTCCAATCCCCTCCATATCATGTGATTCAGGTGTTCCAATCCCCTCCATATCATGTGATTAAGGTGTTCCAATCCCCTCCATATCATGTGATTCAGGTGTTCCAATCCCCTCCCAATCATGTGATTCGGGTGTTCCAATCCCTTCATATCATGTGATTCAGTTGTTCCAATCCCCTCCCAATCATGTGATTCAGGTGTTCCAATCCCCTCCCAATCATGTGATTCAGGTGTTCCAATCCCCTCCATATCATGTGATTCAGGTGTTCCAATCCCCTCCATATCATGTGATTCAGGTGTTCCAATCCCCTCCATGGACACAGGTGTATACAATCAAGCCCCTAGGCATGCAGACGGCTTCTACAAACATTGGTGAAAGAATGGGTCGCTCTCAGGAGCTCAGTGACTCCAAGCGTGGTCCCGTGATAGGTGGCCACCTGTGCAATAAGTCCATCCGTGACATTTCCTGGCTACTAAATATTCCACGCTCAACTGTTAGTGGGATTATAACAAAGTGGAAGCCACTGGGAACAACAGCCACTCAGCCACCAAGTGGTAGGCCACGTCACATGACAGGGCGCGGGGTCAGCGCATGCTGAAGCGCACAGTGCGCAGAAGTCACCAACTGTCTGCAGAGTCAATAGCTAAAGACCTCCAAACTTGGTGTGGCCTTCAGATGAGCCCAACAACAGTGCGTAGAGAGCTCCATGGAATGGGTTTCCATGGCCGAGCAGCTGCATCCAAGCCTTCCATCACCAAGTGCAATGCAAAGCGTCGGATGCCGTGGTGTAAAGCACGCCGCCACTGGACTCTAGAGCAGTGGAGGCGTGTTCTCTGGAGTGACCAATCACGCTTCTCTGTCTGGCAATCCGATGGACATGTCTGGGTTTGGTGGTGGCCAGGAGAATGGTACTTGCCTGACTGCATTGTGCCAAGTGTAAAGTTTGGTGGAGGGGGGATTATGGTCTGGGAATGTTCTTCAGGGGTTGGGCTTGGCCCCCTAGTTCCAGTGAAGGGAACTCTTAAGGTGACATTTTGGACAATTTCATGCTCCCGACTTTGTGGGAAGAGTTTGGGGATGGCCCCTTCCTGTTCCAACATGACTGCCCACCAGTGCACAAAGCAAGGTCCATAAAGACATGGAGGAGCCAGTTTGGGGTGGAGGAACTTGACTGTCCTGCACAGAGTCCTGACCTCAACCCCATAGAACACCTTTGGGATGAATTAGAGCGGAGACTGCGAGCCAGGCCTCCTCCCCCGACATCAGTGCCTGACCTGACAAATGTGCTTCTGGAAGAATGGTCCAACCTTCCCATAGACACCCTCCTAAACCTTGTGGACGGCCTTCCCAGAAGAGTTGAAGCTGTTATAGCTGCAAAGGGCGGGGCCAACTCAATATTGAACCCTACGGACTAAGACTGAGGGGGGCCATTACAGGTCATGTGTGTGGGAAGGGCGGGGCCAACTCAATATTGAACCCTACAGACTAAGACTGGGGGGGCCATTAAAGGTCATGTGTGTGTGGGAAGGGCGGGGCCAACTCAATATTGAACCCTACGGACTAAGACTGGGGGCCATTAAAGGTCATGTGTGTGGAAAGGGCGGGGCCAACTCAATATTGAACCTTACGGACTAAGACTGGGAGGCCATTAAAGGTCATGTGTGTGGAAAGGGCGGGGCCAACTCAATATTGAACCCTACAGACTAAGACTGGGGGGCCATTAAAGGTCATGTGTGTGGAAAGGGCGGGGACAACTCAGTATTGAACCCTACAGACTAAGACTGGGAGGCCATTAAAGGTCATGTGTGTGGAAAGGGCGGGGCCAACTCAATATTGAACCCTACAGACTAAGACTGGGGGGCCATTAAAGGTCATGTGTGTGGAAAGGGCGGGGTCAACTCAATATTGAACCCTACGGAGTAAGACTGGGGGGGCATTAAAAGTCGTGTGTGGAAAGGGCGGGGCCAACTCAATATTGAACCCTACGGGACTAAGACTGGGGGGGCCATTAAAGGTCAGGTGTGTGGAAAGGGAGGGGCCAACTCAATATTGAACCCTATGGACTAAGACTGGGGGGGCCATTAAAGGTCATGTGCGGGGAAAGGGCGGGACCAACTCAATGTTGAACCCTACGGACTAAGACTGGGGGGCCATTAAAGGTCATGTGCGTGGAAAGGGCGGGGCCAACTCAATATTGAACCCTATGGACTAAGACTGGGAGGCCATTAAAGGTCATGTGCGTGGAAAGGGCGGGGCCAACTCAATATTGAACCCTACGGACTAAGACTGGGAGGCCATTAAAGGTCATGTGTGTGGAAAGGGCGGGGCCAACTCAATATTGAACCCTATGGACTAAGACTGGGAGGCCATTAAAGGTCATGTGCGTGGAAAGGGCGGGGCCAACTCAATATTGAACCCTACGGACTAAGACTGGGAGGCCATTAAAGGTCATGTGGGTGGAAAGGCCGGCGGCCCAATACTTGGGGCAATATAGTGTATGTACAAAGGCTGGCGAAGTTCCAAGCTTTCAGCCTTCCCAGCTCCTCCCACCTGGAGGTGAGCCCCTCTATTCCATCTGGGCCCCCTCCCAGGCTCCTCACTCCATCCTCTTCTACCCAAATTCTCCTGCAGCTGAGCCCGCTCAATTACTCTTAAAGCTTTGTCCTGGCCTCTTGCCAATATAGTGTGTGTGTGTAAATGCAGTGGCCATATGAGGGGTAAGCCCACCTCCAGGTCTGGGCGGATCCTCCATCAGTCCTGGTGGGCGCTGTGCCAGGGCACAGATTGCTGGGAAGAGACGCATTTTACAGTGGGAAGAGGAAGTGGTGGGAAGTCTTCAAGTGGGGACAGGTTAGTCCCCGAGATATCCTGCTGTATCTCCGGGGACAGGAAGTGAATGGAAATCTGTCCATGGTGACATGAGAGGGGTTCTATGCCACCCAATCTACCATACCGCCCCCCGGTGGCAGTATGATGCGTGTACAGCGGAGTCTCACCTGTGTGGATGAACACGTGTCTCTGCAGGTGGTAGTTGGTTCGGAAGGCAGCGTTGCAATGCTCACACACGTGACACTTCGGGATCTTCAGGCCCAGAGAACCGTCTTCATTAATAGTCAGGATCTGAGGGGGACACACCGCAATATCAAAGATGTCCCCCCACAGGACACTTGGGTGCATTGCATATAATATGGCTGGCTCCCCCCACAGGACACTTGGGTGCATTGCATACAATCACACTGCTGGCTCCCCCCACAGGACACTTGGGTGCATTGCATATAAACATTGCTGGCTCCCCCCACAGGACACTTGGGTGCATTGCATACAATCAGACTGCTGGCTCCCCCACAGGACACTTAGGTGCATTGCATATAAATCACATTGATAGCTCCCCCCACAGGACACTTGGGTGCATTGCATATAATCACATTGCTGGCTCCCCCCACAGGACACTTGGGTGCATTGCATTGCATACGATCACATTGCTGGCTCCCCCCACAGGACACTTGGGTGCATTGCATACAATCACACATTGCTGGCTCCCCCCACAAGACACTTGGGTGCATGGCATACAATCACACTGCTGGCTCCCCCCACAGGACACTTGGGTGCATTGCATACAATCACACTGCTGGCTCCCCCCACAGGACACTTGGGTGCATTGCATACAATCACACTGCTGGCTCCCACCACAGGACACTTGGGTGCATTGCATACAATCAGATTGCTGGCTCTCCCCACAGGACACTTGGGTGCATTGCATACAATCAGATTGCTGGCTCCCCCCACAGGACACTTGGGTGCATTGCATATAATAACATTGCTGGCTCCCCCCACAGAACACTTGGGTGCATTGCATATAATCACATTGCTGGCTCCCCCCACAGGACACTTGGGTGCATTGCATACAATCACATTGCTGGCTCCCCCCACAGAACACTTGGGTGCATTGCATATAATCACATTGCTGGCTCCCCCCCCACAGGACACTTGGGTGCATTGCATACAATCGCATTGCTGGCTCCCCCCCACAGGACACTTAGGTGCATTGCATACAACAATCACATTGCTGGCTCCCCCACAGGACACTTGGGTGCATTGCATAAAATCACATTGATGGCTGGCTCCCCCCACAGGACACTTGGGTGCATTGCATACAATCACATTGCTGGCTCCCCCCCACAGGACACTTGGGTGCATTGCATACAATCACATTGCTGGCTCCCCCCACAGGGCACTTGGGTGCATTACATACAATCACACATTGCTGGCTCCCCCCACAGGACACTTGGGTGCATTACATACAATCACATTGCTGGCTCTCCCCACAGGACACTTGGGTGCATTGCATACAATCACACTGCTGGCTCCCCCCACAGGATACTTGGGTGCATTGCATACAATTGCATTGCTGGCTCCCCCCACAGGACACTTGGGTGCATTGCATACAGATTGCTGGCTCCCCCCACAGGACACTTGGGTGCATTGCATACAGATTGCTGGCTCCCCCCACAGGGCACTTGGGTGCATTGCATACAATCACATTGCTGGCTCCCCCCACAGGACACTTGGGTGTATTGCATACAAACATACTGCTGACCTTGGCCGGGGAACGCTGTTTTCTTTTCTTCTTTTTCTGAAGATCTACAGGTCCGGTCAGCTGCATACTGTCCATCAGACGGGGGTCTACTTCTTCTGTGAGCTTGATTTCTTGCTTCACGTGAACCTGTGGGGGGGGGGGGGGACAAAGCCACATTATAGGGAGCCCATCAACAGGACAGCTTCGTACAACTATGCACAACCCACAACTGGCAGATGCAGCAGATGTGAATGGTAGGTAGGGCTTGACGTGGTTGTAAGCCCTCCATATACCCAGTGAAGTGACCGGCCTCAGATGACAGAGATGAAACAAATCCTCCTACATAGGTTGTGCCTGTTTATCTGCAGCCTTCTCTTCTCTACAGCTGTTCAAAGTGAAGAATTTAGAAAACTTGTCTGAGAGTTCAGAAAAAAGGGGGCGGGGAGCTAAAATTACCCACTGCAGAGCTCAGTGGGGAGAGTTCTGTGAGCTGATAGGAGGGAAGAGAGATTCCCCCCCTCTTCACCTGCTAATCTGTTGGAGCTCCCTCCCCGTCACCATTTTTCTCTTGGTGTCAGGAAAACTCGTCAGAAGTGACTAGTGCTGATTCTAGAGGAACAAAGCAGCAGGTAGAAACGACACTGTACTCCAGAATGATACAAGTACACACTATGGAGGGATATGCATTGTTTATATTTCATGTCTGAGGTTCACAACCACTTTAAATCCTCCAAATCCTCCCTCCGTCCTCCCCTTCAGA